AGTGTAAACTGTAGAGTCCTGGCCTGTAGATGAGTGTAAACTGCAGAGTCCTGACCTGTAGATGAGTGTAAACTGCAGAGTCCTGACCCGACGATGTAGGTTGTGTGTGCTGGCTCATTCTTTTGAACAGTGGCTGTTTTTTTTTCACCAATGACTGAAGAAGTCTCTTGGAGGAGAGATGAAACGTTTCAGTAAAGAAGAACCATCCAGAGGACCTACTGATATATATATTTATATTTTTGATCTGGTAATGTGTTGTTGTTTTTTTTCAGAGTGTGCGAGACCCTTCAGGAGCCTCCATTGCCCTGTACACCGCCAAACTGCATCATCCCAACAAGACGGGCAACCATGTAGTGCTTCAGGCTCTCTTCTACCTCCTGGACCGGGCAGTAGAAAGGTGACCACATGAACAAATATCTGTGTTTCTAAAGATGTGTTTGATGAACAGTCCTGGAGTAATATCATGTGCTGTCAAACTGGAACATTTCACTGTAAACTAGAAACTGAATCAAGTTCATGATTTCATTTATTTTCATGGGCTTTCTTCTTTACACATGTTGCTTTCTTCCACAGCTTTGAGACACAGAGGAACGGCCTGGTGTTTATCTATGACATGGCAGGTTCCAACTACACAAACTTTGAGCTGGACCTGAGCAAGAAGATCCTCAACTTATTGAAGGTTTGAGTCTCAGTGTGTGAACTGTTTTACACAGATGGTTATTTTCAAACTAACTTGTCAGAAACGGGACTTAGATTTTATCAACTATTCCTTCTCTCCAACTTCAAACATTACAATTTCAAGTTAAACTTTAACACCGTTACTTTCACAATGCGTGGTTTTTCACACTGAATTCAGTTGTCAGTATCTAGAGCTAATAACTATGTCATCAGCTAGCTGCAGCATTTCTGCCTGAGGCACTTCAACACTATTTTAATATTTTTAATGGATTTGACGAGGAAAACAAATTGATGATGTCACTAGTGTTTATTGACCCTTTGCACCTGCGTCACTAAGTCACGTGGGAACACCATGACGGCTATCAGAAGCCAGGGGGCGGTGTGTCGAACAGAATGACTGTTTTTCTAAGTTGTTTCTTTGTTTTTTGCCGTGGCTTTTAGTCTACTTGATGAAGTTGAGCTACAGTGGTTTGCAAAAGTATTCATACCCCTTGAACTTTTCCATATTTTGTCACATTACAACCACAAACATAAATATATTTCAG